CCCTTTACCCATCGACCACGACAAGACAAACTAATATTTTTTAAATTCTCAAACGTGCCGTTTCCCTTTGAGACAAAGGAGGTCATCGAACACCTTAAAACCCTACTCCGCGGAGCATAAATATAGGTCAACCCTTCCCCCAAACGGAGTCAAACAAACAACGTTAACAACCGAGGACATGCCTGATCTCCACAGAGTGTGAGAAGGCGCAGGTTTTGGGGGGAAATTAAATCAACAAACAAACTCCCGCTTCTGCCTTATTACGCTCTTGGCTGAAATCCTTTCTGACACTCGAGCAAGATCACTAACAGTGACGTCACACAGTTCACTGGGTTTCCCGCGTGTATATTTTCCCCCTGAAGCTAACCTGAAAATAGGTTCTAATAGTCAAAGAGGAACTCAACAAAAAATGCTAATAAACAGAAATCGATATATTTTTTCTTCCACTAGTGGGTGGATATCGTTATGGGAAGTTCCCTGGAAGTTGTATTTACCTTAATTTCTAAATACGTCCGCTCTTGTTAGCTTCTATACATTTTCTCAGCCTGTCGACCCTCTATTTCCCCCCATCCCCCAAGCCTATACCATGTTTGTTTTTCTTTTCTGACTAAAAACCACCTTCTGGCTGCTTTCTGGATCAGAGGTTTCCCACTTTTTTATAAACAAATACAAGGCCCCTTGCTTTTACAATAAATTCACGAAACTTAGCAAACGGATACTATTTCTCGGCATTGTTTGAAAAGATGCCACTTGAAAAACGTGCTTTGAAATAACATGTCTACAGAGTCTAAGATAAGCTCTAAATCTGGTTATAACACATTCAATGTTTCACTTGTTCACCTGAACATAAATGAAGCTTTTTTCTTTCAACCCCTCTCTTTCATTCCTTTTTACTCCTTCATTCCAAACACTTCATAACGTATTTTAACTAAGGCATGTTCCTGTCCTTTTTTTTTTTTTTTTTTTTTTTTTGTTGCTGTTGCTGACCAGCAAGGCTGCTTGATCGACTAAAGCAGTTAATCAAACAAAAGCATTTCAACTGTAATCCAAGCAAAATACATTTTGTAATAAGGTATCAAGGAAATCTTGAATCAAAGAGCGCATCTATTAATAAGTAAACCATCTCTTTGATCAATTTGTTCATGCTCTTGTTCCTCTTTTTTCTCAATTCGAGAACTACAAAAACTAAACAGTGCTGACGTCTTGGGAGAGGGGGACATAATCTGATCCCCTCCATCTTTCCTTCTATTGACATTTTCTTTGTTCCATTTATATTAAAGATAAATATAGAACATATAGTATATTCAACCCTACCATTAAGCTGTTTTAACTCAAAGATCCGTCAACAAATTTGTTGTAAGCAGAAAATGAAATGTTGTACGGGAAACGAAAACGTATCATTCTCCTTCGTACCCTTGTGTTATGCTAGTTTAGGTCCAACAAGGAAAATACATTAAAATCTTGCAATTTGTTCTAAAGGAACGGTAAAACTAAACTTCCTTGTAAGGCAGTTATATTCAAATGCATGATATAAAATAAATGCATCCCCC